GCCAGCCTTCTGGTTAGCAGTCAAGTGCCTTAGGCACTATGCTACCAGAGCTCCTCATAAGCCATTAGAGAGATGTAAATCAAAACAACGAGATACCGTCTTGCTCCAGCACTAGTAGCAAAGTTTGACAAGACAGAAAATAACAAATGCTGGTGAGGATGTGGAGAGATTGGGACTCTCATACACTGCTTGTGGGACTGTAAGATGGTACAACCACTGTGGAAAGCAGTATGGCGATTCCTTCAAAATTTGGAATTAGAAATACCATTTGACCCAGCTATTTCATTACTAGGTATATATCCTAAAGAAGTGAGAGCCATGAGAACAGACATATGCACACCTATGTTCATCGCAGAACTATTTACAATAGCCAAAAAATGGAAACAATCTAAGTGTCCATTAACTGAGGAATGGATAACCAAACTATGGTACATACAATGGAATATTATGCAACCCTAAAGAATAACCTAGAATTTGCAAAACACCACATAACGTGGACGAACTTGGAAGACATTATGCTGAGTGAAATAAGTCAGCCACAGAAGAACAAATATTGTATTAGCCCGTTACTGTCAAAATCAAGGGAAGGTTTATCTATGGAAGGATGTTTTCTTTGTTGGTTACCAGGGTTGGGAGGGGAGGTGAGGGAACACTGTTAGATAAGTAGAGATAAGTATTGATTTGGGTAAAGAGAAGGGCAATGTACCAAATATGAGTGATCAACATGGTGGTACTGAGGAAGACAAAGACATAGAGAGGTACATGGGAGGTACAGACAACAAAGATGAACCCATTTGCACATACAGTACTGAGTTGTCAATGAAGGCAAACATAGGAATACAGGTGGATAGATGGGTAGACAGGCTGGAATATTAGGTATATCTTTGAAGTGGGGAGTGTACCCAAGACCATGTATAGGCTTGGCAGCCAATAGTCCTATAAGTGTATTTGTACAATCTGAATTCCTAGGTGTGTAGTAGAGCTGACAAGAGACAAGGCTGTAGTCACTTCTTGGTCACAGCCAGCTACCAGAGGGACCGAATAGTTGAACCTGTGAGCTCGGGACCATAATCACAGGGAACATCAAGCTCAATTGGCGTAACATACCACACAAAACATTGCTCTACCTCCTACTTTGGCGAGTAGCACCTGGAATCTTAAAAGCTTGCAAGCAGCTATCTAGATGCCATGATGGGTCTCTCCTCATCCAGAGCAAAGAAGAATGAAGAAAACCAAAGATTCATGGAAACAATTAGTCCTAGTGACTGGAACACCATGCGATCCCCAGCCTATGTGACTATGAGACCAGAAGAACTAGATGGTGCCGAACTACCGCCGTCAACCACTTGGAGAGGGATCATTAGGAGATCCTGGATAGAGAGGGAGAACAATGTGGAACAAAACCTCAAAATCATTTGGAAAAAATAAAGGGAGACCAGGTTTGCTGGTCTAATAGAGCCTGGTAGAACCCTTGAGACTATGGCCCCTAGCTGCCCTTCAGGTATAGAATTGAACCCACCACACCTGTGGCTTTCAGCCAAGCAAAAGACAAGCACAGGAGTTAAACATCTACCTGAGGTAGATACATTCCTTGGAGAGAACTATCATGGGAGAAAGAAGGGCTGTTTATGCACAGGGAGACAGCTCAGGGGGCAAAGGTACATGGAGGGATGGACATAGGGAAGAGTTAACTGTTGGAAAGAAGTGGGAGGGGAGCTGTTGCATTGTGGGAAATTGTGGTCTATGCCACGAGACAAAGTATACGTGAAGTGCTGTATAGAAAGTTTACTTGCTCTGTAAATTTTCACCCAAATCACAACTAAAAAAAAAAAGAGTAACTGGGCTACCACAGGCAACACAGATAGATGCTCCACACTCAAGACATTATGTTCATAGAGGGGAGAAAAAGCCAACCAACATGTGACAAACACACCAATGACGCATAACACATCCATGAGGCCTAAGGAGAATGAGAAAAATATGGCAGTGGCAGGAAAGGCCTCTGGAGAGGGTCCCTTTAAGCTTAGCTCTGAGACAGGCCATTTACATGGGCTGGGCATCACTAGGAGACAAAGAACTCCACCTAGCCTTCAGTCTGGGTTTTTGAGAGAACTCTTGGGATTGGTCACCAGCAATCAAGGTGGCTTTTGTTTTCTACAATAACCCAGCAGCACTCAAATGTGTGCAAATGTCATGGGAACCCCAGAGACCACACCTGACAGCTAACTTCAGGAAGGGAGGGTGTAGGATTGTCATGCATATTCAATGATTGAACTGATCACGTGAGTGGCCAGTCCCTGGGGACAGTGGAAGCTTCTTAACCAGGACCTCTCCCAGGCTAAGGCTGCCCATCTCTTGCTTTTAGTCTTTTCTGTTTATAATAAACAAGTAATGTTGAGTGGAGGTGATGGTCTCCATGAGTTCTAGGAGCCGTTCTAGAGAATTAATGAACTCACGGGGGGCAATGTGACTCACTTAGCTTAGGGTGGCCGATTCAGACAAAGGCTCATGGATCTGTGGGAAGGTAAAGCCTGGATCTGTTTCCAGGTAGGAAATGGATTTGTTTTGATCCTTGCTGTGCAGCTGACGATAAAGGTGGGATTTGCCCGCCTTACCCCAGCAGCAGTGCGATTACCCCGCCACCTGACTTCAGATCCCCGTCCAACCCTCCTCCCGGGTCTCATGGGCTCCAGCATAGCCTTTCTCCAGCTCACTCTCCACACTGCTCCCAGAGAGGTTTCCTAAAATACCCAGGCTTAACTCAGTCACTACCTTGCTAAGACCCCCCCAAAGGCTGCCCCACAGACCAAGGATGAAGCTCACGCTCCTGAGCGTGGCTTTCGTGGCTCATGAGGACCTGCCTGGGCTTAGCCCTCGCCTCTACCCTGACAAGGCCTGCTGCAGACACACCCAACAAGCTGCTAGGCCCCCAAACTGTGTGCTTCTCTTTAGACTCAAGGTTTCTGCAGACACAGCTTCCTTGGACTGGGACACCCTACTTAAAGACTCAGTTTAGATGTTTCTTCTTCTGCAAAACATTCCCTGACCTTACAGCACCCAGTACTTTGCTTCTCCCTCTGCAACTGTTCTAATCACCTGTCCCTTTGTCTTTCTCCCTACTTCACTCTAGGTTTCATGAGCTCCTCCAGGGCAGTCTGCATTTCCCCTTCATCATATCTTCAGCCGTGTTTTTTATTAATGGAACAACTTTATGGTAATAACTTTCCAGCAATTTATAACTACTATAAACCTAAGCAGAGACAAAAAGGGTTAAAAAGAGAGCAGGTAGAACACAGCTTAGATTTTGAAAGAAGTGCTTAGAAAAAAAAGATCAAAACACCGTGGTAGAACCTCATAGGGCAACAGGAGCTCTACTGGGAGCAATGGAGACCAGCAAAGCATGCAGGTGTCCAAAGGCATTCAAAATCTCACTCCTTCAAAATACCGCCAAACAACGCCCTGTGCAGACAGGGGCACCGGGACCCCTCCCCTCCCCGAGCAGACGCCACTCAACCAAGATGAACATGAACTCACCCTAGTGCTCCTGCGAGGCGTCAGGACAGCTGGGATCTGTGGGGACAACACGAATCGCTCACATCGCCGGCCCCCAGTTCGGGCTCCCCATCCCACAAGCACCCCGAAAGCCCTCACCTCTACCGCGTGCGCCACAATCTTCTTCAAGACGATGGGCTTTCTGACCGAGGCCTCATGGGCCGCCTACACGGGAAGAAAGGCGAACGTGAGTTCCACGTTCGTCCGGGGGGGCCTCGAGGCACGAACTAGGAAAGCTGGGGCTTACCTGTGGCCAGATTTTAGGGAGGGTGCTGGGGAGCGCAGAGCCTGATTTCCGCTGGGATCTCCGCAGAGACTTGATAGGAGATGGGGACTGGGGCCCTGCAGAGAGAAAAAGGGAGAGAGGTAGGGAGGACTCTAGGCCCGAGAGTCTAAGGAATAGGTTCTGGAGAGAGCGAGAGGTTTCCGAATACGCTCTTAGGACCGCCTTCCCAGGGTACACAAGCCTGCTTTTCCCGCGGGGTTTCTCTGGGAGGAGGGGCCCTTCCTGCCCAGAGGCTGCGTTGTCCAAATGGCCCGGCCTCATCTCTCCCACGCGCCTTCCGCTCACCAGAACGCCGGGCGGCCCCTCCGGACCGCGTCGCCCTCTCAGACATAACTGGTTTGGGGCTTGATCGCCGCCGCCGCTGCCCCTAGCTCGCGCCAACCGGGAGGACCGTCTGCTACAGGAAACGTTCGAATTACCCGCCCTAACAGGAGGAAGCAGAAATGACGCCAGCCGAAAGGGCCGTCTGGCTCTGGGTCCGCCCCCTCTTCTTCACCTGCCTCCACGTCTAGCGTCAGCAGAGGTGTGGCGCGGAGACGCTGGGCGTCATCACCGCGCGCCGCACCCGGAAGAGACGTGGCAGCAGAGGGGTAATCCGAGCGGCTGGAACTAAAGGGAGCGGAGCGGGAGCTGTGGTGAGCATAGTATAGCTTCTGACCTTCTGCGCCTCGAACCACCGCACGCGGTCGTCAGGACCGGTGCCGCGGTCGATCAGTAATAACACAGTCCGGAAAGAGGGGTCTGTGGAGATGGTGGGGGCGGGGCCTAGAGGGGGTGGGGCTCGGGAGGGGCTCCTGGGGGCGGGACCGGTGCTGTGAGAGAGACGCTGATGGAGGGTTCTGGCGGGGGCACCCGAGGCTGGATCTTGGAGGATTGAGGGGGTCGTCGGAGGCGGGGTTTATGCAAGGGGCGTGGCCCGGAATGAGGCGGGTCGGTGGGCAGGAATTTGGGGTTGGGACGAATATGAGAGGTGTCTAGGGGGGCTTTGGGAGCGGAAAGAAACGGATCTAGTTAGAGGGCAGTGGCGGTGTCCAGAGCCTGGCTGCCTACCAACCCCGCCCCCTTCCCCAGGGTCGACCATGGGACTTTGTAAGTGTCCCAAGAGGAAGGTGACCAATCTGTTCTGCTTCGAACACCGGGTCAACGTCTGCGAGCACTGCATGGTAGCCAACCATTCCAAGGTGGGACCTTCAGGGGGTCGGCTAAACAGGGCCCTGGGGGGGACAGGCAGTATGAGCTTCCAGTCAGTGACTGAGGGGCTCACAGTAGAATGGAAGCTCCATGAGAGCAAGGACTTTCTTTTGTTCACGGCTGTACCCCCAGCCCCACCAGCCACTCCACGGAAGGAAGACTGGGCAATCTCCTTCCTAAAGGGGGTTGCTGTGGGTCAGAATGGACTCCACAGCAGTGAGTTCAGTTTGGTTTTGCTATACCTCTAGCACCTAAGATAGAATCTGGCACTCAGCAAGTGCTCAATAAATGTTTCTTGTTTAAACAAATGAAAGGATGCGTCTCCTCTGTGATGAGAGAAGAGCAGTGGGGCTTTGGGGAGATGGGCTGGGTAGCCTCTGGCTAGTGTGGCATCTCTCTCCCGTTCCAGTGTGTCATCCAGTCCTACCTGCAATGGCTCCAAGACAGCGATTACAACCCCAATTGCCGCCTGTGCAACATGGCCCTGGCCACCCGGGAGACGACCCGCCTCATCTGTTACGGTGAGGTCTGGGCACCTTGCAGGGACCAGGGCAGCTTCAGGGCCCAACTTGGTGACTGGTTTCCAGGCCCTCCCTGAGTAGTGAGACAGCGAGACTCCCCAGCCTGCAAGGCCAGAGCCCCAGGTTCTAGTCCTCCTGGTGGGAGCTCAGGCACATTGTTTTCCCATTCTAGGTCCCAGTGTCTTTCTCTAAAAGTAAAATCTGGTTCCTGCCCTGCCAACCTCAGAGGGTGGAGGGAGAGCCAGTTGAATTCAAGGGGTGACTCTGAGCAGTAGGTAGCCAGACTAGCATGGGACTTTCAGGCAGTCAGGATCTGTGACTGATTCCAAGAGTAAAGAGAGAGGAAGTGTGCTTCCCATATTCAAGTTAGATCCTAGAAGTCGTCAGCGGACTTCTAGGTCATGCCCTTGACCCGACTTTAGTGTAAACCATCTCTGCCGTTTCTAAAGGAGTACAAAGGAGGCGGTCCACACGCATGTGTTTCTGAACGTGAGTCTGTGTGTATATGCAGGAGTGCAATGTGTATTGGGTCTCTACCTAAGCGGTCCTGTGCCCACTGGAAGTTATGTGTGCCGAGTGGGTAGGTGTGTCAATGTGAACACAGGAGCACAGATATGTTATGGGGATAAAGGAGACCATGTAGGTGAGCGAGCTTGAGTGTTACCAGTCGTGTGAGTATGTGTATATATATATATATATATATGTGAAGGTGAGTGTGCTTGTAAGCACAGAGAAGAAATAGCACCTGTGTTTGAATTTGGGTGTATGTGTATGTGGATGTGTGTGCACATGTGTGTGCCTGTGTGTATATCTAGAAAGCTTTTCTGAAACTCTTCTTGATTAACTGTTAGCCCAAGGAGCAATGAGTGCTAGTCCAGAGAGAACCCACTAAAAGTATGCCTGGTATCTTCTGCCGCCTGCTGCCACCCCTTGGGGAGCTTGGTTGCATCTGCCTGGATTGCTAAGATGTTGGTAGCCAAGAAGGCCAAAGTCTTCTTTTTTTTTTTTTTTTTAATAATGTGATTTGGGTGAAAATTTACAGAGGAAACTCACTTTCCATACAGTAGTTCACATACACTTTGTCTGATGACATTGACCACAATTTCCTACAATGCAACAGCTCCCCTCCCACTTCCTCCCGATAGTTACCTCTTCCCTGTGTCCATCCCTCCATGCACTCCTGCCCCTGGAGCTGTCTCCCTGTGCATAAACAGTCCTTCTTTCTCCCATGGTTGTTCTGTCCAAGGAGTGTATCTACCTGAGGTAAATGTTCAACTCATATCCTGTCTTTTGTTTGGCTGGAAGCCACAGGTGTGGGTTCAATTCCAGACCTGAAGGGCAGTTAGGGGCCATAGTCTCAAGGGTTCCACCAGGCTGTATCAGACCAGCGAACTTGTTCCCCCAAAAAGCTGAAGTCTTAGGGAACGCTGGTGAAATGAAACAGGTGAGGCAGGGCAGGGGAGGTTTTGGGCATACATGTAAGTGTGCTCATGTTCCTGCAGTGGGGTGCACGGCTGCAGTTCTAATTTGTCTTCTCTCTCACACTCCTCCTCCCCTTTTTCATGGGCCCCAAGATCTCTTCCACTGGGCCTGCCTCAACGAGCGTGCTGCCCAGCTACCCCAAAACACAGCACCCGCCGGCTACCAGTGCCCCAACTGCAATGGACCCATCTTCCCTCCCTCAAACTTGGCTGGTCCCGTGGCCTCTGCGCTGAGAGAGAAGCTAGCCACAGTCAACTGGGCCCGGGCAGGACTGGGCCTTCCTCTGGTGAGAGTCCCTGTGTCCTAGGTACCACCTGGGCCAAATGAGTGGGTGAGGACACCCCTGGGGGGACTGGTGACAACATGTTGCTTCCTCCAGATTGACGAGGTGGTGAGCCCGGAACCTGAGCCTCTCAACACTTCTGACTTCTCTGACTGGTCCAGCTTTAATGGTAAGTGGTGGCCTCCACGTGCTCTTGAGGTCTTTGTTTCCCTGCTCTGCTGAGAGCTGTCTTCCTGCCCCCAGCCAGTGGGACCCCTGGACAAGAGGAGACAGCCAGTGCCTCTGCTGCCACAGCCTTCTACAGCCAAGCCCCCCAGCCCCCGGCCTCCCCGGGCCGGCCTGAACAGCACACAGTGATCCACATGGGCGGTCCCGAGCCCTTGATCCATGGTGAGCCAGGGAATGGCCCGGGCTGGAGGAGGGACAGGAAGAGGTTGGGTGCTATGTGTGGAGGCAGCTGAGGAATCTAGAACCCCACCCGGAGGGGCCCTTCCCCACTCGAGCACAAGCATTAAAACACATTGCCATCGAGTGGTTCTAACTCGTAGTGACCCCCATTGGGTTTCCAAGATGGTAAATCTTTGTAGAAGTAGATTGCCCCATCTTCCTTCTGCGGAGCAGCTGCTAGGTTTGAGCCACCAACCTTCTTGTTAGCCATTAAATGCCTTAGGCACTGTACCACCAGAGATCCTTAAGCACAAATATTACCTTCTCACAATTTCGGGGTGCTCTCTCCAGTTGAGAAGGGCAGGGCTCTCCTGCTTCCCCTCCTCCCTTCCCTGGGGCCAGTGTCCCCTTGGCCTATTGGTACTGGTGACTCCACCCCTGCAGCCTCAGCCCCAAGGAAGGTGTATGACACGAGGGAAGATGACCGGGCACCAGGCCTCCATGGGGACTGTGACGATGACAAGTACCGCCGCCGGCCTGCCCTGGGCTGGCTGGCCCAGCTGCTCAGGTACATGGGCTCAGGAAGGGCAGGCCAGGCGGGGTAGGATGCCAGGAAGGCGGGGAGAAAAGGTGAAAGGCAGAGGCCCTGGGTGGGGTGATTTCATGACAAGGGGGCTTATTCTGGGTGTGGTCTGCATTAGGTCCTGGGGCCTCACAGAGATGCCTGGCTTGGCAGTGGGGGTCTTGGGTCGGCCCCTATCTCGGGCATCAGGTCCTGGGGGCCTCACAGAGATGCCTGGC